GTCGAGCGTGATTAATTTAAAATGACATAAAAGTTTTTTTTTCTTATCTGTATCTCTAACGGCCAGCGAGGTGGGAAACGGGTTTTTTGGGGGGGGGGGGGACGAATTAGCATACGTGAGACGATACGTAACGGGTGATTGGAGGAGGGTTTAGAGATCGACGTTGTCTTATTCGCTTCTAGCACACTTTCCTAAATAGGCCGGTCCGCCAAGTGATTCGATTGGTGTCGCTCGGCTGTTAATAGCGTTCGGTTTACGGCGGGCGGCAGGATATAATGCAATTATTATGTAATAGTAAAGTGATAAAGGAAGGCGACGATACGTAACAAGACGTAACGTTAGCATTTGACCAGCAACGACTCGCACTTAACAGCCCGACACGGAAGAGAGGGAGAAGGCTCTCGAGGAGTCAGCGGCTCTCTCTCTCTCTCTCTCTTCGGTTTCTTACCACGAAGGAGCAAGGGCGCGCTTCCACGAAGAGAGCTAACGAGGCGGTCAGGTAGATACCCGGGTCGCTAACAGCCGCGCGGGGAGTAAAACTCGGCGGGAGAGACAGAGCGGAGACGGTGGATCCCGTCCTTCGATAAGCGTCTTCGATATGTCGCACAATAACCGAGCGAGTTGCCCGCAGCTCGATCTTTCATCGCCCGGGACCACGCTCGTCGTTCGACCTGCGTGTTACTTAAGGAGTGATTCTGCACCTTTTGCTCCTAGAACTGTCGATTCACGAAAACGTTTGTGTGGTGTACAAATTAAGTGGCTTTTGTGCACGGACCGACAATGTTCCACTGATCGGACTAAATCAGTGAACAGCGTGGCATCGTTGAAATTACGTTTAGGAGCCTAACAAAATATCTATTCACTGGTGAATAGATTTTTTATTTCTAATTTTCTCGTTTTGCTCGTTTTTGCGCCGACGATGGCCCAGAAAAGGAGTCGAAACGTACGTTTTTTGAAATTATAATAATTGTTTCTTTTTGTTACGTTATTCCAACACGTGCGCCCTATTACTTGCGTTTGACTCTTATTGCCTGATCTTATTGTTATTTTTAACTTGAGAGTCTGTATCACTATTAATAGATTTTTGTCAGGCTTCTAAACTTAATTTCAATGATACCATGTGCTGTTCTCTGATTCGGTATAGTGGAACACCGTCGGTCTGTACACAAAAGCCACGTAATACACAAATGTTTTCACAAATTGGCAGTTCTACGTAGGAGCAAAAGGTGCAAAAAGTGCAGCATCACTCCAGCATCCCCTTAACAGCCTTCGCGGGCTGTGTGGCTCGACGTGGTGATATACGAGGGACGAGAGAGTCCTTTAAATGCTCAATATCACGCAACTTTGACATTCGTAAGAAAAGAGAGAGAGAAGAAAGAGGGAAGGAGATAACGCATCTGCACTCGTGTCGTTCAACGTGAAAGAACGGCGGAAAACAATTGTACGATAATCGTAAACTCAAAATAAAATAAAAGCGTATTTTTTTTCATCGAGCTGCTGCGTCTAGGATTAACAGGCGTAATAGAGAGAGCCGCTAGTTGAGCCCTCGGCCCAACTTGTGGCGATCAATTGAGTTTGTCATCCGCCAAATTTCCTATGACGCGAGACAGTACACTTGCTGGAACGCCATCGATCATCAGTCATACTTGAGATCAATGAACCGCAAGAAGGTTCAAACATCGCCGCGGTGAAGAAACCACTTGACCTTGCATGGTCAGACGTCTGTTGCAACCTCCCAATCATTAAACGATTTATTTGCACATCTCGTCGCTCAAGGACCGACTGCGGAGATTTGCCCGGAGGATCTTTCAAATGTTCAATTAGATGAAGGAAGACACTGGAAATATATACCTATATTCTTGTGATTGTAATTCATTGCAGCATTGCGTTAATTGATATAAAAAGGTTTGCGCAGTGACGGTTTCAACAACGGTAAACTTTCATCCGACTCTTCATCTCCCTTTCGCTTCGCGAAAGAATTGAAATTAAGACTAATTAAGATTAGTAAAAACCGGTCCTGATGAAAAGAAGCCTAGGTTTGCAGTTCAATAAATTGAAAAAGTTCCGATCGCGGTGAGGAAATGAGATAGCAATCTAGCCCGGTTCGAGCCTAAAGAGAGTCTCTTCGGCTTTTATTCACGGGACTCGTAAAGCGTTCAAAAACACGGGAAAATATTTCGTATACTTCAAACTTTTTTTTGTTAACTTCACCGATGTTCGGAAAAATATGCGCAACAAACCGTTGTATCTCTCGCTGTAACCGGCAAATCGCCTCACGACGTGGCATCAGGAGCTGAAAGCGTAGAAAGCTAAGTCGCCGGCTTTTACCTAATCGCGGCGGGTCGAGTCCGGAGGCACCGCGGGAGCCGCGGTCCAGGTGGTGGGCTATCTGTCGGTGCTCCTCGTGAAAGTGGGCATTCCGAACGCGGCTCGTTCAGTTCGGGGAACGAACGAGCGCTCGGCGTCTCGAGGAGGTCTGTTCCTCGCGGCGTGTCGTTAAGCGTACACAACATAAACACATGCACACATACCCACACGCCGAGTTATATACACTCTCGGCTGCGGGCCTCTGGTATTTACCAGCGATTCGCTCGGTCAACATGCGGGTGTGTGAGTGCATCGGTGTGTCCGCCTCTCGACGCGCGTACACGCGCGCGAGAGCTCTCCATCTTCCTGCTGCCACTCGCGAAGGATGGAAAACGCAGCTTTTCTCCTCGCCGCCTCCCCCTCCGCTGCTCATTTGGCTCGGACTACCCTTCTCGTCTTTATTCTACGTGGGTCTATCCTGACAAACTTACATAGCGCATAAACGTATGCACAAGGAATCTGATTGGACCATAAATGCACAAGGAAATGGGCCAATCAATTTCTTTGTGCATATGCTTTATGCACCTGTGTAAGTTTGTCTGGAGAAACCGTGGGGTAAACCACTGAGGGCATTGTGGTGTACAAATTTGCAGCGTTATTGGGCATTATTAGGCATTTGTTTAGCATTAGGCCTTGCTGGGGCATTATAAAGATAAAATAAGATAAAATGAAATAAAAATTAGATAAAATAAGATAAAAATAAGATAAAATAAGATAACATAAGATAACATAAGATAAAATAAGATAAAATAAGATAAAATGAGATATAAATAAGATAAAATAAGATAAGATAAGATAATGAGATAAAGTAATATCCACTGGGCATTAGTGGGCATTGGTGTGTGTACAAGATTTTGGTCAGCGATTTTCCCCTCGAGATAGACCCTATAATTTCCTTAGGAAACGACATCCCTCGCGCGACCCGAACTCTCAGCAGACAAAAGTTTACAAGCTCCTTCTGGATAGTCCACTAACAATCCCTGTTGTCCTCCGCGTCACGAAGGCCCGTGAAAGCCCATCCCACTTCCTCGGTCGCGTTCCATCACCGACGCGGCGCACACGCGCGACGGATTCGGCTGCCAGTTGCATAGCCGCGCGTACGGCTCGCACGTGCCATTCTGATCGCGTCAATTTAAACTTGGCAATACATCATACACGCGTATCTGCCTTCCGTTGCTCGCAACCTCTAGTTTAATGTCGTGCTGTAAACATATCCGTTTCCACGCGTTTTCTCTACATTGATATTTTGTTGACGTACGTTCTTATGTACTTAATTTAACGCTTGTATTTCAATTTATTTTCCTTTATGCAACTTGATGTGACAACTTTTTGTCTTTACTTTTATGTATTACGATGAAATTTTTATTATTGTCTTACTAATAAGAAATTGTACCAATGCCCGTTTCTTACTTCAATCTCGGTTCAACGTTTTGTAGTTTTACAGATTAGAAAAAGATAAGAAGTAATTTCAACCGAGATTAAAGTTAATCTGCATTGGTATTGAAACGGGCGTAAGAAAGGCCCGGTTTCACCAACGTTGCTTAACTTTAAGCTTAGCTTAATCACGTCTGTCTCTTTCTAAACTAACAGTTGGAAAGAGACAGAACGAATTGGGCCCAAGGCCCAAAAGTTTACTTAATTTTTTGAATCAATTATTAAAGAGTAAAGAATAAGATAATCTTCACGTGCGAGCTTAATTTCCCTTCACGATATATTGACACGCGTTTAATTACGTAAACTCGCAATTAAAATATTAACGTCCGATAAAAACGAATCTTTTACTCGCCCGCGTGATCAATCGGCGCGTATCTAATCGCATTTCTAACAACTCTCGTGATTTCTGGAACGGGAAAGAGACATCTTTCTGGAAATTCGGATGACTGAGGTTACAAGAAATTTTGCCGCACGTGGAAGTTTGCGCGGCAAAAGCGGCTGAAGACAAACATATCTAACGTTTGACGAATATCTCCTCTTTTTTTTTCCTCTTCCGGACTCGTCCCACCTGCGACAATCGTCTCTATTCGTATTCCGCGGATCTCGCGTCGCACGTGCACGCGCCCTCCCGCGCTCTCCTCCCTCGGCGCCCGATTCCTCCGCCGTCTCTCGCGCGAGGAAGACCACTCTCCGCCGCCGTCGCCGCGACGTCCTCCTCCTCCTCCGCGACCACTGCCACCTCCACCGTCGACACAGCCACCGCCAGCTTACGTCTTCCTCCCTTCCCCGGCCCGGCTCATTTTCTCTCTCTCTCTCTCTCTCTTTCTCTCTCGGCGGCCGCGCGCGATCTTTGTTACTCCGCGCGGACACGGCGTGGTGGAAGTCGCAACGGAACTTCAGTGCAGCTGCGACGAGCAGCTGACGCGGAATCATTGAGGTTCGTAGTAGAGCTCGCGCCGCGTACGCGACACTACAGGTTGGACGGTGCTCGCGGTGGTGGAGACGGACGCGCACGCACACGGCTCTGGACCGCACGCCGCTGCCGCAGCCTCCGCGGCAGACGGCCGGAGGGATTCGCGCGTGTCCTCGTGCCCGCCGCAAATGAGCTCGCGCCGCGAGTGCGCGCGTGAGGGAAACGCTCCTGCTGCCGGTCGCGGCTACGTCTCATTGTCAGTCGCGAACAGTGCGGTGTATCGTCGTCATCATCGTGGTCATCATCATCATCATCATCATCATCATCATCATCATCATCATCGCCATCACCATCGTCGCCGTCGCTACGCGATTCCGCGGCGAGGTGCGTCGCCGGCTGTGCTCCGCGGTCACGACTCCGCGGCGACTCCGGCCCGAGACGGCAGTTGAGAGGGAACCTGCGAGAGAGCACACGGCGACAAGTGTACGAGCGAGCGAGCGAGCGAGCGGGCGCGTCGACGAGGGAATACTCGCAGGTGAGTGCAAGAGATCGCTTGTCGCGTACGCCGGGGGGTATCCGCGTCTCTCTCCGGGAACGAGATCTTCGAGGATGCGCCTTGGGACACGATACGGCCTGACGGACGGGCCGGCGGACAGAAACTGACTGTAACCACGAGAAAAGTCACTTGGAAGGGACAAAAGTGGTCAAGTACAATGAAAATACGCTTGGCGGAAAAGAAGATAAACGGGATAGGGAGTTGGATGGAAATTAAGTGTCGATACAACGTGCGAGAGTGTGGCAAGAACGAGCATCGATAGAGGAAAGTCCCCTCTTAAGAGATAACCTTCTAATATGAGATAGCAGGCTTTCAACATCCAAATTCACTCACAAATCTCTTTTTCGCAACGATTTCTGCACGATCTAACAATGAATCTTTCACTGAACAGACTTCACTCCGAGGGCAATAAATTTATGGTGGGACCAACGGACGATGCCTATTAATTTAGCAGAAATCCCGCTATCATAATAGGAACCTGTCTCGTACAAGTCACTGAAAAGAATGATGTTGCAACTGCAGCAATAATTTTCTAGGTACGAAAAAATAATCAAGATATATAAATGAGTAACCAATACTGCGAAATCGCCTATGTTTTGTGTTTAATCGACTCAAATAACAGAAACAGAATTTCTATTAAATAGCAGCTTAGTGACGCCAGTCAAGAAATCAAGAATTTTAATAAGTATAAATACGACTTGACTGGCAATTCTTTATTATTATTATAATTATAATAAAACACAACGTTTCGGCCAGTAATAATGGTCCTCTTCAGATAACATACTTACAAGAGCGTCTACAATTGTAAGAGTCGTCAGATCAGAGATGTGAAATTTAAGTTAGAAGTGAGAAATTTCGTTGTACAATGTGTCTTGTCGTCAACGTTAGAAAACAGAATGGTTATCTTCTCGCCAAGAAACGAAGAATGTGCTGGAAAACACGGGTGCTGTAGATCTTCACAGCATGAACATAGCCGATTCCGAAAAAGTTGGCCTAACAATCCATTGCCGATATATGTAAAATGCTCTGCGTATACGCGACCGATATATAAGCGGGTAATGTACTGAAGAAGGCTTAGTATAGCCGAAACGTTTACCACAATTGAAAAATAAATGGTGATATCTTTCTGAACAAACATCCACTAATGCTCGTTATTATGGCCTCTAATAATAATTGATATTTGTATTCACAACATACGAGCGGAAGAGTTGCACTCTGATTATTTTTATTGGTTATCCACACTTATATCAGAATTTCTATGTTGCCGAACGTTAGGAAGAAAATCTTTCTGTGGCGCCCATCCATTATAACGTTCGATTACAACACATAAACAGTTAGATTTCTTACAAAGGTCGTTTGAGCTACGGTACCGAAATTCATTTTTATATCATATATGCGAATGATTAATATTTATTATCGCTAGAATGTTGCTGCTATAAATTTTGCAGGCTACAAACAATTTTCTAACGGATAAAAAAACCGCGTTTAATTTTTATTGCGACACCTAGAAATCTACCTGCGTTAGTAAGATTTTTTTTTAGTGAATATGATAAAATATACTCAGCTTTCGGCGTGAGAGATAAGAGGAAATTGGAATAAAGCGGGATATAAAATGAGGAAGGAAGGAACGTGTATGATGAGGGGTAAATCGCTGACCAAAATCATGTAACAGGTCTGCCGGTTAATAATTCTTAATGTTTTTCATGAAAACAATCACGTTTAATTTGGGAGAATGGTAAAAAATGTTTTATTCAAAGTAACATTTCGAAAATCCTTGGAAACGCCACGTTGTCCCACGATTACGTGACTTTTAGGGTATATTTGAAGAGAAAATTCTCTCCCGTATACTAATATCCCAGTGGGTATTACTTTATGTTATTTATCTCGTTTATCTTATTTTATCCGTTTATAATGCCCCATCAAGGCTATGTCTAATGTCTAATGTCATAATGTCTAAACTAATGCCCAAAAAATGCCTAGTAATGCCAAGTAATGCCGCAAATCTGTACACCACAATGCCCTCAGCGGTTTATCCCTCGGTGATTAGAAATATAAAGGTTTTCGTGTTACGCCTCAAGAAGATGACTCAAACCGAAATCGTAACGTCCGCTATCGTATTTGTCGTCTTGCGTTGATTCAACGTAAAATGAAGTTAAACATGTTATCTTAACACAATGTTGTACTCTCGCGGTTTTATTTCGGTTTTTAAATATACAATTAAGGATCATTATTTTTTTTTTTACTATTCAATTACGTGCCACCAAAAACGGTGGATTCGTTAAAAAGTGACCGAGGGGGAAACCGCTGAGGGCAGAATTGTTTGGGCATTAGGCCTTGCTGGGGTATTATAAAGATAAAATAAGATAAAACAAGGTAGATAAAATAAAATAAGATAATAAGATAAAGTAATGCCCACTGGGTATTAGTGGGCACTGGTGTACAAGATTATGGTCATCGGTTTCCCCCTCGAGAGTGACGATTCGTGGCTGTCATAAAATATGCCGGCTCTACATATATTGTGATACTGAGTCAACTTGCGCTGTTGACATTTAATGAGTAATTAAAGAGCTGACATTTAAAATTCAAAGCTAGTCGGTAGCGGCCGCAGAAATTTTCCGAGTCACGCTCCCGAGGGATCTCCGCGCGACACGTATACGAAGAATTTTCTCTTAAAGTTCTCTCTAAATTTTTTGGAGTGGAATCTCTCTTTTGGAGTGAGATTTCACTCGAAGGAACAATGAAAATACTGCCAGTCCGACTGGAGTGCAATTTCACTTTTCGAAAGAGCGCCGCTATTCGCTCTTTACTTGGATTGATTCTTCAACTCTGAAAAGAGTGCTATATATGTTTTACTTTAATCGATTATTGTTAACAGTATAAAATTCATGGGCGAGAGCCTATTGTTTGTTCGCTATGATTATCGCATATAGAGTCTATATTCTAATATTCGCAGCCAGTACTGAAAATTTATATTATACCTGATGTGACAGCTTCGCTTATTCCGCTGATTGTCGCGGAAGAACCGTCCCGGCCCGTGACGGGGTCTCTCGTATGCCGGACTCTCGTGATCTTACTTACGAGTTCGGCGGCCATCTAGTAGCGGAATACCGTACTTAAGGGGTAAAACCACTCTAGAGGCTGAAAAAAGACCTAAATTTGACAATTTATTTTGGGAGTATGACAAACGGAATAGAATTTCTTGTCAGAGGGTTTATTTAACACATATTGAAGTACGAAAAAAAATTTTTTAATTGTCATTTTCATACAAAATGGCGGCGACAGAGCCCGTAGTCGAAAACAGCTTTTTTGAAAACATCGCCACGGGAGGACGGATTTCTCGGCATGTATGAGTCCTGGAACAAAAAACAAAAAAATTTATAATCTATATACAATTGACTTTGGAAGTACGTAGGGGTTTTTTTGTAAATCAATTTTTGTGGAAATGGTGCACTTTGTAAGAAATAAATCGTTGGAGCGAATGCTGGAGTGCTAACGACGAGGGGAAAACCGCTGACCAAAATCTTGTACCCCAATGCCCACTAATGCCCAGTGGGTATTGCTTTATCTTATTATCTTATTTTATCTTATTTATCTTGTTTTATCTTATTTTATCTTTATAGTGCTCCAGCAAGGCCCAATACCCAAACTAATGTCCAAAAATGCCTAGTAATGCTGCAAATCTGTACACCACAATGCCCTCAGCGGTTTTCCCCCTCGGCTAACGACTTCACTTTAAAAATGAAAGCGAAATTCTTCACTTTATGTCTTAGAGTGAAGTGGTCAGTGACACCATGATTCGAGTGAAAATTTTACTCCAAAAACTTTAGAGAGTTTATCCCGAAAATCACGCGTGACCGTGGGACAATATGGCAGAATATGAAGAATTTTATGACAGTTTTTTTGAAATTTTACCGTACGTTTTATTAGGAAAATGCATGCTAAGTATAATTACTAGTGCAATGTATGGTAAAATGTTCAAAAACTTTCATAAAATTGTTCGAAATGCCGTGGTGTCCCACAATATCATAATTTTCAGGATAAATTTGAAGAGAACATTCTTTCCGTGTAAGGACAATTAAAGCGCGGATCCTCGCGACGAGGACACGAGCGGGAAGAAAGGGAGGGAAGGGCGCCGGGAATGCGGATTATGCGGCGCGTGATGGATGGATCGGGCTGGCGGGCGGATTTTTAGCACGTGATATCACCCGGTGGAAAGCGAGTCGCGTATATAGCCGCGGGTTTACGAATCGGCTCGATCAGCAGAGACACGTGCGAGGACGCGACACGTGATTCCCCGCTCGACGACAGCGCTTCTCTAATTCGTGAGGTCTCGATTTGCATTCGCCTAACGGCAAGCGTCCGCTTCTAGGACGCACGTTTTTTTTTCTTTGCTAGACATTTATCGCCGAGTATATTTATTGTCGCCTGAGACAGAGAGCGAAAAGGGAAAGGGGAGATAGAGAGATCCTGAATTTTTTTTCTTTTATTTTATTTCTGGAGAACGGTATGCGATACGAATCGAACGGACGTCTCGAAGTCACGGCGCGTCTCTCCGGTGTTAAACGGCGAGGTGTCGGCGCCTCGCGACTTTATTCACCTTGGATTCACGAGTGCAAAATAGTCGCCGGCTCAATCGAATTTCAGGCCCGTGAGTCATCGGTTAGCGAAGTGCGGGATGAAAGTGTCGCTCTCAGCCTTTGTTTACGTCAATCGCGTTTCGGCATGCCATCGCGATGAGGCTTAGATCCGAGCGCGACAGCGCCAGCGTCAATTCTTTTCACGAAATCGTGCGGACCGCGTGCGAGAAGAGCGGGGAAATTGGCGTGGACTCGCCGGCATCAGCTGCTCAACCGACTGCGCGTGCTTAAAACTGCACCGGGGCACTTTCAAAAAAGATTGTCGCCGCCTGGCGAACAGTCCGAGTGTATTGCGTGGGTGCGAGTGGAGAAAAGAGCGCGTGATTCCGACGAGATCGCGAA